TACTGCACTAGTTGTTGTGTGTGTGTGTGTGTGTGTGTGTGTGTGTGTGGTTTTACTCATACGGTTAATGCTTTTTTTGGAATATAGATGTAAGAATATTTCTGCTCTAGACTTTCAGAATAAAGAGGATTCTGCCCACTGCGTTGTTTGGGTCTCGAACAAAGGTACATGACTTTCATCCTACTGCTCAAATCCCACTACAATATGTTTACATACTTCTTTTATTTACATTAAGCTAATAAGTATGAAATTGTTTTCAAACTTTTATTGGAATGGCACTTTTTGTTGTTGTTTATTGATCTGTTTTTTTGTTTCATTTGCAGGAGGACTCATCAGCTGACACGCAGGCACCGCCCGAAGTAAGCAATTCAGCTTCATGTGTCGCCTTCCAAACACATAATTAAGGACTTAAACTCGTAAAAAACGGTCATGAAGGGAAATCAAACATACAATAGTTCACAGTTTTAGTGCAGTCATACATGGAGACAACTTTAATTGAAACATTACAGTTAATTACAGCTGATTTCCATTCTTTGTGCATGTCGAGCAGATTCCAACCCAACCGGCTCAGCAGTAATATGAAACCATCCAAATAAAAGCACAGCGGCGCCGCCTTAAAAAAAAAGGAAGGGTAATATTCTGATAAAGGGTGTGTGTTAAAGAATCCTTTGTCATTTTAGTATCAGTGACAGTTCCTTTGTGGGACTTTATTTTGATTAAGATGTCTTTCAAATTAAATTGCGGCCTACGATTTGTCTCTCAAAACGATTCGGTCTATTTAAACCTCAGCACACTGTCTGTGGTAAATATTATTTCACATTCTCCCATGTGTCTCTTTACTTTATTTCCTGTTTGCAAGTGCATCCCCAATTCACGTAGCAACACTTGAGTACATATCGCATGTCGTATTTTGCATATTTTCGGCACACTATATATGTAATTTTTACTGAATCTCAAAATACTATGTAAGTTTTTCTGAAAATGTCACTTTGTCATTATACTGATAGTTTCGACATGCTGTACTATAACTTATATTTTCTACATAGTCATAGCACAATTTAGTTTTTGTACATCTTTCTTTCTTTTCTTATGTGTTGTATTTTTCTGTTCTAGGAAGTAGTTGAAGTTCAGACACTAGAGTTGGCCGATGTACCCTCGCTCAGTGAAGGAACGACCTTTGACCCTCTGGATGTAAGCTTCTTTATGTCCAATAAAATCACACCGTGTCATGCTTGTTTCATGTGCATTTAATTTCCATGTACATACATTTCACAATTGTTCATGTACAGGATGAGGAAGGCCTTTTAGCGTGGTGGAATTTGGTAGAAGGTAAGCTTAATATTGTCAATATTTAATGATTTATAAGTAGTCCTGCCTTTTGCCAAACTACACCTAAGTTGTTTCCTTCCTGTGTGTTAGGCTGGTCTGAGTGGAGTGAGGGCAACCAGGACGAAGAGCCTCAAGAGTAAGTAGCACTCTTTTTCCTTTTATCCAAAATGACTCACTCAAAAACAATACAATTTAAGCAATAAAGGGTTATGTCTTTCTTCTCAAAACACTTCAATGTGTTGACAAGGTGGGATTGAACTGATTCCATCTGTGTTGTCAGATCAGCCAATCGCTGTGCATGCACAACATTTATTGTATTACTCTTTCTATAAGTAGGGTTGACGTGTTACTCTACTCCACAATTTTGCCGAAACTGTGAAAGTCTTTATTTCCTGTCCAACATGTGAATACCTCTGTGTGTATACTCTTCACGTCCAGTAAACTCATCTTCTCGTCCCTCTCGTCTCAGCGTGGTGGAAGAAGCGGCCGACCGTGTCTTCATGGCGGCTCGTCTTTTCGTTCGCTTCTTCAACCAGCGTGGCGCCACCCTCCAGCAGCGAATCCTGGAGCTGCTGTCTCTGGCCGACTCAGCTGACGTCTTCCACAAGAAAACGGTCCAGGCCAGTGTGGGCGGGGGGGTGGCCAGCGTGGCAGGATCCATCACGACCATCACCGGGCTCATCCTGGCGCCCTTCACCGCCGGGGCGTCGCTCATCGTCGTGGCGGTCGGCATCGGTATTGCTACGGCAGGCGGGGTGGCGTCTGCTTCAGCCAACATCACGGACACGGTGCATTCAAAGACCGACCGCAAGAAGGTGGAGACGATTATCCAAGACTACGAAGAGGAGATCAAGGACATCAAGGAGTGCCTGGAGTTTCTGCAGGTGAGAAGATACAAGTTTGTGTCATTAAAGATTTACGTGGTTCAGTAGTTCACTGAGAACTACACCTGCACACACTAGGCTGCGTTGGATATGGCGTGTGTGTTACATGTTGTGATCATGGATGTGGCCCCTCGTTATGTGATTGTGATGTGCTATATGTTACATGTATGTGGTAAGTAACATGTGTTGTTTAAGGTTCTCTTTTATCCTGTATCTACTTGTCTTTCATCCTTTCTTTATAACCAATGCTGTTGATGTATTGTGATTTTAAAAAGGTGTCCATTATCATCTGGCCGAGGACAACAGCTGGGAATTAGCGATGTTTGCTAAAGCTGCAACATTTACTGTTTTTGTGACCGTTGATCAATGGGGACTGTCCACGACACTATAAACTCAACCTCATAATCTTGGTTTTAAAGTCAGACAATTTAAAATAGTCGCCTGAACTAAGTTTTTTTTTTTTCCCCCCCCGACAGGAAGGGATGGAAGCGCTGGAGGAGTGGAACTTTGAGGCGTATGCTGAGAGCATCTCCAAGAAGCACCTCAACCAGAACGTCAAACACGTGATGAAGGAGGGGGGGCGCGCCGGCAAGGCTTTAGTGGTCAACACGGAGAGCCTGATCAACACCGTGCAGGTCCTCACGGCGGCTGGAAGCGCTGCTAAAGCCGTGCAGGTGATGAGCATTACCACGGGGGTCATGTCCGGTCTCTTCCTGGCTCTCGATGTCTTCTTCCTGGCGAAGGACACCATGGAGCTCAAAAAGGGAGCCAAGACTGAGTTTGCTGCTAAGATTCGAGAAGTTTGTAAGGACCTGCAGGACGGGCTGCTGGAGCTGAACCGCATCAAGGAGCAGCTGCAGAAAACCATCGACGGGATCGAGGTGGAGGTCGAGGAAGAGGAGGACGAAGAGCTGCTGAAGTCTGAGCTGAAGAAACTTGTGGAGTTTGATGAATGAAGAGATAGTGTTTAGAAAACCAAAGTCTAAATCCAAACGCCAAAAACAATCACTCCTCCCAGGAGCTTAATTGAAGTAATATTTATTAGATATAGTAGCTGTCATTTTAATTTGTATGTACTTTGTGTAAGTGTCATGTGAAAGTAATGTCACCTTTGCAATTAAAGTGGTTTCCTGCTTAAACGCCTTTCTTCATTACTTCCCTGGTCTCAGTTGTGAAAGTCTGGAGTTTCAAACTCGACGGACCGGTAGAGGGAGAGACATTTTTTAAAGCAGGAGTCACAGGCTTTCTGTCAGCGTCATGAGGGCACAGAGAAATGTAGACAGCCCTGCCAGGACAGAAAAAGCCCCTTTTCATTCATTTTGACTTCCTAATATAAATTCTTAAGTACATTATTTACACTGTTAATGGCTACATTGCACGACAGCCTGAGGCAAGTGTTCGAAAAAGCATCAGAACTGCTTGTGCTAAGATGAAAGGAAATCAACCGTAACACTGAAAGAGGAAGTGTCTAAAAACGACTGACCTTCTCCAGGTCAAGCATACGTAAATGCTTTCAACATAAGTGGAAATTAGTTGCGCAACTCTTAACAAAAGATGGGTCTGACTGATGGGGGATAAACTTCCTGCAGTGGTGTCCAAATCTAAAAAGGTATTTGAGGTTAGATTCTACATATAGTAGGAAATACAATGTGTGTGAGAGTAAATACAAAGTATCCTTTGAGTATAATATCATTAATAATTTTCAATAGGCTGGAATAAAGCTTCATTATGGTGTGAATCAAATAATTAAGCATCTACTTACACATCCAGCAGAACTTTGGCACCCATGGGAGTCAGACCTCTTGCCATCTAAAGAAGAGAGGGGAGACATTCATATACAGGAAGCTATTTTTAGGGAGACTCATTTGATTGAATGCAAATATTTTAAATGCATGTTTAACACAAACACACTATTCTTAATAACTCGTAACAGATTTTAAACTTTCAGATTTGAACTTTGGATGAGATTAAAATAAATAAAACTGAATTTACAGTCTAACATATGTCAATAAAAGAACAGCAAAGGTAAATAGGTTTGTTACATTTAAGGACATTTGAACTACATTTTGTCAAAGTGTAAAAACAACAACCATGAAACATAAATGTTGCAGCCAATTGCTTTTTAATAGCAATTGGCTGCAACATTTGGATTGTAATCCTCGCATAATAAATCCATGCTGTGTGTATGTGCAACAACAGCCTTAGGACTGTAGGAACTGTGATTTAGGTGCATTGAGTGCAAATCAAGTTTTCCATCCAGCAAAATGAAGGGATGTAATTGAACTGAAATCACATCATATGTGGATGTAAAGCCTGTGCTGCAGCTCTGTATGCTTAGAATAAACTAAACCTCAGGACCAAAGAGGCTGCATTAAGGGTTTACAGTCAAATAACACTAGGAATGTAGCTATGCGGAAATCCATTTTATCATACAGTAGATTATCATCTCAAGATAAATGAGTAGTCACGGAAGGGAAACTCGAGAAGGAATGACGTTTTTCTGGTAACTAAGCGGTATGAACACAGGTAGCACCTGCCTTTCCCATCAGTAAAAGATTTCCTTGATTTGCTTATTGACTCAGAAAGAATCTGGCACCGCTGGTTTAGCCAAAGCGATGTCTTACCTGACTATCAACGCTATGAAAATAGATAGATAGGTACCTTATTGATCCCAAATTAGGAAATTATTTAGTTACCGTATCAGCAGTGTGTTCAGACATTTAAGTCTTTAAAGATGTAATCCTCCGGGTGAAGGAATATCTTCAGTTACTTAAAGGGGACCTATCATGCAAAATGCACTTTTGTACGTCTTTTACTGCTTCAGGCCATTGTGTCCTTGGGCAAGACACTTCACCCGAATTTGCTCCTGTGGGTATTGTCCACAGTACATGTATAATATCAATGTGTACTTGTAAAAGCGCCTCGATGACTTTGAGGTGTGAAGATGGGCGGTGTGGCGCAGTGCATTGATCAAGGGGGTGAAACCCGCCGCCCATCGCTCCTAAAGGCGGAACTAATATCATAAAGTCATGTACCATCGCAACAGTGTTTTTTTTGATCATTCGGATGACGGATAACATTTCATTACAGGTAAAGATATTGTTATAAAAAGTCTTATTTGTTTTACAATGGTGTGTTTGTTATATAACTTGTTGTTTTGTTTACTCCAAGTAATTTCCCTGGATAGTACGATATAAAATTATTATATAACATCCCGGTATGGATATATTCCATATAAATATTCAAAAATAAAAAGTTTTATGGTTTGTCTAGTAACGTAAATTCGGTACGGAGTAAAACGGAGTGAGGTCGAGACAGAAACCGTACTCGACCTCGACTGGGGGGACGTTTCCTCCCCGCTCCGTGTTCGCAGTACAATGATACGACAACGGTATACGACAACGGTACGGTGCCGTTGGAGAGTAAGGAGGACTATCCACCTCTCAACTGGTATGTCCGCCTCACGTGGAGACACTGTAGTATCTCCAGTTTAAGTCTTTAGGTGTACATAGTTTAGGCAACGTCGGGGGTAAAAATCTCTAAACCCATACCTCCTTTTCTCTCTCCCAACATAAAAGACTGTGAACCACTCAAGGGACCTGTGGCCCCTGTGTATAAGTACATATTTTATTATATTATTATTAGGAATATAAATAATATCGCGAAATAGTTACTGAGTTTCGCGAAATGTTTATGTGTAATGTATATGTCTAGTATGTATGTACATTACCAGTAGATGACACCTGTTATGGGTGTCCTCGTTCAAGTCCACTTCACAGAACGGGTTCCTGTTGCCGAAATG